CAGTCTTACTGTTGACTGGTAGGGAAAATACCAAGTCTGCTGTCTTGGGTTCCAAGAGCTCCCCTGAATGACCATGTAGGGGAGGGCAGGCCTTTGGTTTGCAGCCCGCTGTCATGTGTGAACCAAGCATCTCCAAAGACAGACCATGGCTCTGGGTCACACTGACCACTGGCTGGTTCTTTGCAGCCACAAGTTGAGGAAGGCTCTTTTTCAGACGGTTGGAGAAAAGCCCAAAGATACCCAATGTTTCATTACACCTAGAAGCTATGGGAAACCTCAATGTCGGTGTCTGTAAATGAGGTTGAGCGAGGACACAGCCACACCCATTCGTTTACACATCATCTCTGGCTGTTTCCGTGCCGCCACCACCAGCCATGTGGCCCACAAAGCCCCAACCGTTTTCTCTCTGGTTCTTTACGGAAAACCATGGCCAACCTCTGCCTTTCAAGATAGAAATACCATTTTCACTCTCGGAAAATCAGGCAGTTGGGTTCCAGGCATATTTGATGGTGTATGGTGACCATATTGTATGGCCTATAACTTTAACTTCTATTTCTTCTGCTTCCTGAAGTGCGTGTTTGTTTTTCTTTCTGCTCATTTGCTGATGTAGCTGAGCAAGTTGGCTCTCCCCAGTAGATGCATTTATATGCATATAAAGGCATAGATAGGTTTTGTTTTAAGTTTCTCTCTTTCATGAGAGAGAGGGAAAAGGGGAGAGAAAGAGACACAGAGATCCTGACGGTGTCGGGCTGCACCCCGGTCCTTCCCCTAGCCAGCCAGGATCACAGGTGCAGGATCCGAACCTGGGTTTTCCATATGGGTCGGCAGTGCCCTGCTCACTGCACCACTGCTGCTGGGCCGTGGGCAGTTTCTCGTGGCCATGTTTGCAGCATCACCCGGGACTTTTTCTTTTTGTTGTTTCAGGTTTTTTCTGTGGTTTCTTTCTTTGCCAGCAGAGAAGTCAGACTGGCTTGAACACCCGAATTCTGAAGTTACACGTCTAGTAGAACTATGCAAATCCAGTACCATGTCCCTGAGGATTGATCGGTGCCTTCGAGCAGGGGCCTGTGCTTAGCGAGGCTCATCTGGCCACCGCACACCTGCTCACTAGTGCTGAGCACAGAGCTGCCCAGAGGGGGGCAGGGGCCTCTCAGCTGTGAGCTGCACACCTGGGTGTGAGACAGTGGCCGTGGGGAGGACTCAGTGACCAATGGGGTGCGCTGTGGGGAAGGCAGCAGGCGGAGAGCCCGGCCCCTCTGCGCGAGCAGCCTGGGAGGCCTGCCAGGACGTAGGTCTTTGTGCCCGGAGCCCGGGGTAGGCCTGAGGAGTTTGAGCAAGGAAAGTCAGACGTGCATCACTCTGTGCTGAGTGGAACATGGGGGACGCGTTGGCTGTCACTGTCGGGGGCTGCTGTAGAGCTCTGGCAGGAGAGGCTGGTATGCTGCCCTGGATGTGGGGAAGCGCTGGATGCAGCCCAGCAGGACTGCAGGCTGCTCGGGTAGAGGGCAGACAAGTGGGGGGACTGGGAGGGCCCCCTCACTAGAGGGCCAAGGGCGCCACTTGCCATGACAAGAGGAAAGACTGGTCTGGCGGTACGGGGGACACATGCTGGAGAGACAGTTTGTGAACGGCAGTGCTGACCTCAAGGTGTTCTGGAGGACACCAGGTGGGACTGCGAAGTGGCCATACCCCTGTCTCTGGGCTCAGAGAAGCAGCCCGGGCCATGGGGACCTGGCGGGAGCTCCCTGCCTCCGTGCCCTTGCTCCTCTGTCCAGGGCTCCCCCTGCCACATCCCACCACATCCTGTCCCGTCTCCCCTGTCCCTGCCTGCGATGTCCTTCCCATCTTTCGGAGTGGGGTCTAGGACATGCCAGCTCCCTCCGTACCCCATACTAGATGCCTCTAGAGGCCAGAGACACTAGCAGGTCCTGTGTGCTCACAGAAGCCCTGGCATGCACGTCTGTAATACCGCATTCCCCCGCCACGTGTCTGGAACTCTGTCCAACAGTAGCATCGCCGCCACTAGCTTGACTGAAATTAGTACTCCAGCGTCGCGCCAGCGTCTGGAATTCCCGACCGCAGGTTTCACTTGCAGCACTGAACACCACGCCCCGCACTCAGAGTGCTGTCGGATGGACAGTGGCCTCTGCCTTGCCGGCCTGTCCAGACACCCTCCAGCAGGGACCCGCAGCAGCCGGCAGAGCGTGAGGGAGCTCACGCAGGACTGCTGGGGCCGTCGCACTGGCCACCCTCGGGCCACAGCCACTCCTGCTGTCTGTCTTTGCCTTTAAGACCTGGCCTTCGGTGGTAACAGCACTCCTTCCTCGGCGCGTCTCAGTCCCATGTGTTCTGAGACTGGGTCACCTGGGTGCAGATGGTGACGGCCTGTTGGACTTGCAGTTCTGGCGGTGAGAAAGAACAAAGGCGTCAGGCTGGCTGTGTCACAACACGGCTGACACAAGCAGAGAGAGGCAGGGACAGAGACCTGGGGCAGCCACCTCCCCTTTAGAACCACCCGCTCTCTCTCTTTGTGTCAGAATAAACGTCACCAGGCCTCGAGCCCTTGAGCCCCTTCAGCCCGTCATGAAAGTGGTGTCTCCGTGGTCAGCCCTGCCCACGGGGCCTCACCCCTTAAAGGTCCCATCACCTCCCAGCGCCTCCTCGTTAGGGACCCAGTCCCAGAACACGGGCGCTGGGGCTCAGCCATTACCAGGCCGCAGCAGAGCCACAGTGCCCCTTGTCTCGTCTGCCAACACCTAAGCTGTCTCTGTCTTGCAGGCGTGAAGACAAAAGGAAACCAGTGGCCAATTTCAAGTCTAGAGGTAAGTTAGTGTGAGCTGGCCGCCGTCCGAGCAGTCATGGAGACTGTCACCACCGTCCAGGCTGTGGGCACCCCCACCACATCCTGTTGCACCTCCAGAGGTGACCTGAGCCCTGGTTCACCGCAGGCCTGTGCCTGCCGCAGCAGGCAGCTGCCAACCTCTGCCCGAGGGTGCTTTCTGGCCACGAGACACTCAGCCAGGCCCTCAGGGCTCAGAGTGCCAGGGAGGCGATGCAGCTCTCTCCTGAGCAGGCAGAGTTGGTGGCCAGAGTCCCCCTTCCTCCCCCTCCACTGCGACAGTCTGAAGAGAGTTCCTCATCATCTCACAGGGTCCCCAGAAGGGTTGAGCCCACATGTCCACTGTCAGCAGCACTTGGTAGCAGGCCCTTCCTGGCTTCCTTGTCCCCGTGTCACTCTCTCCGCCCCCCTCCCCGCGGTCCCCAAGGCCTGCCCCAGGGGCAGCATCTCTGTGGACTCTGCCAGGTCTTTCCCTCCCCCTCCCCGCTTTACAGAGGAAGATAGCAGGGAGGGACAGCAGATGTGAGGTGGTACCAGGCCCCAAAGAGCACCCAGGTAACAGCACTTCCGCTTCCCTGTGAGCGCACAGACCAGAGGCAGGCACGACAGGAGGGGGAGGAAGAGCTGCAGTGTTTGCTGTGCAGCGACAGAGCACGCTGGGCAATGCGGGCTCTGCAGTCATGGCCGCGTTCTGGGCGAGCCGGCCCAGTGCGTCCTGGGCATCTTGCTGGGCCTCTGCCAGCCAGTGCCTGGATAGCCGGCCCTGCTGTGTCCGCACTCCTCGTCAGCGTGCGGGTGCTAAACCTCTGTTTCCCTCTCCAGCCTTCTGGGGTGAGTCTGACGACAGTGACTCGGAAATTGAAGCTGCTCTACGGCCGAGAAGCCTGAACACAGCCGACGATGACTTTGATGATTTTTATGATTAACAAGTTGTCACACCTGTGGGAAATAAAGTCTTTAAGCTGAAAGCCTGTGTTCTTATGTGATCTCCAAAATAAACACAACCTTTTTAAGTTTCCTAACTGGTAGGAAAACTTAGGACCACGTTGCTGTTTAAGTGAAATTTAATGACATAAATATCAACTAACATATTCAATTTTTAATTTGATTAAAAAAAATTTTTGTAGGGTGAATGCACTCACCAGAAAGACACCAAGAGAGCAAGACAGGGAAAGTGAGAGAGCACCCCGGGGGTGGCCATGCTGCCGTTCTTTCTCCTCCATTCTCCTCTCAGGGTGCTGAGCGCACACATACTTAGCATGTTTCTCAAATGGCGAGGTCCAGGGTTCACTGCACAGTCAGCCACGTGGGATCCAGCACCTCACCCACCACGCTCCCTGCTGGTCCAGCATGCATGTATGTATGTATGTATGTATGTATTTTTTAAGAATTACTTTATTTATTTATTTTAATTTGACAAGAAAGGGACAGAATGAGAGAGAAGGAAAATGAGAAAATAAGTCGCCAGGTCTGGGACTCAAACCACAGTGGGCCATGTGCAAGTCCAGCACCCTAACCACCATGTCACCTGCAGGCCCCAGCATGTGCATATTCTAAGGGTTATCAAGAAGCTAAGTTAGGGTAGGGGCATCCTGTGGCCCAGTAGTTCAGGGAGTTGGATCCTGCATGGCCAACCATGCAGTTCAAGTCCCAGCATCTGTGGCCTGAAAAACATGCAGGTCACATGTGCTTGTGTGGCCAAACTCCTGACAGGAGGGACAGATGGAGGGGATGGGATTGTAGCATGACTACACCCTGTGAGGTGCTCTCTCACTTTCCAGCCCTCTCTCTCTGTCTCTCTCTCTCTCTCTCTGTCTTACTCTCTGCCAAACACATGTGCCTTCTGGCAAAATGAAAAAAAAAGAAAAAGAAAAATGAAGGGGTGAAAGCAGTGCTCATTAAATAGAAGTTAGGGGAGAGCTGGTGGCACAGCAGTAACTATGTGATGCCAGACCCACATGGGAAGGTCCCAAGTTCCCATCCTAGGTCCTCCCTGCATGTCCCAGATACGGTCTAGGCTGGCTCATGGGGGTGGATTGTGTGTGACGACCCTGCTGGGTGCCTGTTTCTCTCCCTATATCTCTCTCTCATAAAAGAAAGAAAGAAACATCATTAAAAGTTAAAGATGGGGACCAGCAGTTAGCGTAATGGCTATGTCACTGGACTCCTATGTAGTCGACCACAGTTCGAGTCCCTGACCCAGTGACTTAAACTCACACCGGGCGTGTGTGCGTGCATGCCCAAGATCCCAAGAGGAGAATGGAGGAGAAGGGATTTCGGCGTGGCCATCCCCGCTGGGGGATGATTTCTCGCTTTCTGTCCCTCTGTCTCTCTCTGTCTGGCAAGCGCACACGCCCTATAGCAAAAACCTCTAAAAAAACAAGAAAACAAAACAAAAAGTTCAAGATGATGGGATCAGCAGTTAACATAATGGCTATGTTGCTGAACTCCCATGCAGTCTACCGCAGTTTGAGTCCCGAACCCAATGGCTTAAACTCATGCCAGGCGCACGTGCATGTGTGGCCAAGATCCCGAGAGGAGAATGGAGGACAAGGAATTGTGGCGTGGCCATCCCCCCTGGAGGGTGATGTCTTGCTTTCTATCTCTGTCTCTTTCTGGCGAGTGCACACGCCCTGTAGCAAAAACAAAAACCTCTCAAAAAAAAAAAAAAAAAAAAAAGAAAAAACTATATTTTTGGAAAAAAAAAAAAAAAAAAAAGTTCAAGATGATTTATTTGTAGAAACTAACAAGCTGATCCTAAAATCCATATGGAAACCCATGACCCATAACAGCCAAAACAATCTTGAGAGAGAAAGACATATCTGGAATATTCACATTTCCTGATTTTGAAACTTACTAAAAAGCTACAATAATTGAGACAGTTTGGTACTAGGTATACATATAGATCACTGGAATATTGATTGTCTGATTTACATGTAATTTAGAACAGAATCCAAAAATAAACCCTGACATTAAAAAAAAAAAAATTGTTTCTTTCTTCCATGGTAGAGAGAGAGAGAGAGGTACCCCCGACAGGCCACCATGATCCCCAGCTCAGCCTGCCCAGAGAGGCCCCAGGACTAGAACCTGGGACCATTCTCATGTGGGTCCACTGTTGCTACCACCTGGTCCCAACCTTCAGGTTTATTGTAAACTTTCAGCAAGACTGAAACAAAAAGAAAGAGATGTTTCTATCGGTTATAAGTTGAAATGGGTACATTAGACATGTTGAGTTAAAATGTATCATTAAAGGACCAGCACATGGCTTAGTGGTTATGTTGCTGGACTCCCACCTGGTTGACAGCAGTTCACGTCCCAAACCTGGTGACTTGAAACTCATGACAGACATATATGCAAAGGGATTGTGGAGTGGCCATCCCCTTTGGGGGTGATTTCTCACTCTTTGTCTCTCTGTTTCTCTCTGTCTCTGGTAAGGTCAGACTCCTATAAAAAAATCACTCAAAAAAAAAATCTCACCAGTGTCATTTTTGTCACTAGTTTCTTTTTATATTTTTTAATGAGTTGCTAGAAATGTTTAAGTTAGGGACCAGCAGTTAGCCTAATGGCTATGTCGCTGGACTCCCATATAGCCGACTGTGGTTCGAGTCCCGGACCCGGGGGCTTAAACTCACCCTGGGCGCGTGTGCGTGCATGCCCAAGATCCCAAGAGGAGAATGGAGGAGAAGGGACTGCAACGTGGCCATCCCCACTGGGGGGTGATTTCTCACTTTCTCTCTGTCTCTCTCTGTCTTTCTGGTGAGTGCACACACCCTATAGCAAAAACCTCTCCAAAAAAAAAAGAAAGAAAAAAAATGTGATGTTGAACATTTGTTCACATCGCTTAAAAAAAAAAAAAAAAAGAAATGTTTATGTTACATGCTGAATATGATTTGCATTTGTGATTTTATTATATTTCTGTTGGCCAGAGCTACTGTAGAGAACCCTCACTATTACGTACAAAGAGACATGCTCAAAAATGTAGTTGTGGTATTGTTGGAAATAGTAACCATTTGGGGGACTAGCAGGTGGTGTAGAGGTGGTGTCGCTGGACTCCTGCATGGAAACCATGGTTTGAGTCCAAGACCCAGAGGCTTAAAACACACTGGGCACATGTGTGTGCATGCCCAAGATCGCGGGAGGAGAATGGAGACGAAAGGATTGTGGCATGACCATCCCTCCTGGGGGGTGATTTCTCACTTTCCCTTTCACTGTTTCCGTCTCTCTCTCTCTCTCCCCCAGAGAGCACATGTGCCTTATGCCAAAAGCCCCCTTAAAAAAAAAAAAAAAACAGTAGTAGGCATTTGGAAACAGTGGAGTCCACCAACAGGACAATGATAAACACATTGCTGAAGGACGTATTCAGTTCATAAAATGTTTCATAAAAGTGAAAATGCAAAACAATTCAGTGTGTTACTTATAGATGGGGGAAGGGCTTACGCAGTGCAAGTATGAACACATGGAAGAGAGGGATTTGTGAGCTCTTCAAGAAAGTGATAAGTTATGGGGAAGAAAAAAGAATGGACTGTGGTGTAGGGAGATTTGCTGCACCGTTAGAGGCTTTAGTTTCTCTCCTTTTTTTTAATTTATTTATTTATTTTGACCAGAGGGCAGGTGCACTTCCCAGAGTGAGAAAGCGAGAGAAAGCACCCGCAATGGTGTGTGGTCACACCATAAGCCTTTCTCATCCGCTTATCCAACCCATCAGGATTTGGGGACACACACGCATGCACTCAGCATGCTAGAGGCTTCTTTCTCTCTATTTTTTGAGTTATTTTATTTTTATTTTTTATTACCACTGGGCACATGTGGTAACCA